TACAATATACATTTATACATGTATTCTTTCAAATCCCCACGACCGGTACTCCAGAGCGATGTTGGTCTCTCACTCGATGGATGCAGGTCGGATCGCAGCGGCAACACCCTCCAACGCCATTGGCAAATATATAAATAATCTTCCTGGTGCGCCAGTGCTCCACCGCTTACGCTTGTTCGATCCCATCACTTCTCAGTCGCCAACGTCATCGAAGCTATACGGTTTCTCTCGTTGCAAAATAGAGCCGGAAAAACCAATTATTTCTTCTGAGTGAAGCGCGGCGAAGCCTCATTTTTTCAAACAGGCGAAGAGAGAACAATAGGTCCCCCTGCAGGGCGGCTAGATTGCATCAAGCATGGCTCGAGCCCCCGTCAGCATTTCTTGAATTGCTATATAATATAAAAATCCAAACAATTTAATCTAATTTGTTCCGCGTATTCTCAAAGATAATGTTTCTAAAAAACTTTCATTTCTAATATATTATTTATAGGTTGTATATTTTCTTTATTATTCAAATCTAAAGCCGAAAGGTTCTCTAAAACATCAAAATTTTGGCTAACTAATGAATAAATTATTGGCTGACTTCAAATAATTTATGAATTAAAATATTAATCGCGATTGGAATAGTGCGTTAAAATTATTAAAAAATTTAATGCATTTTCAAAATATACGCTTTAATCGAATTATCATTTAAATGTTTTAATATTATTTCTGCAGATTCCAGTTTATCTTCTGCTGTCGCTAATATAAAATAAATTTTTAAAACATATCAATTTTGTAGAAGTATAACAACGCACTTTTGTAAAGACAGCCATCTTGTATTTGATAATTTTAATATTTTATTTTGTTCAATTTCAAAAAAATCTTGGGATTCAACCAAAATTGCACTTCCCGAAATATAAGTGGGAACTCCTCTAATCAAATTTTCGCATGAAGAAAATGACTTTTCACAAACTTTACTAACTATAAGACCTGAACGGCAAATGCAGATTGTTATTAATTGTGACATTTCTTTTTTAAGATAAGACATAAAAGAATTATTTCATCCAATCAGATGCATAGCATCATGTATTATCACATGCCAGTCCAATAATATTTTTAATGGGAATGTTTTTTTCTTCTACATAGATTTTTTAAAAATTTTAAAAATTTTAATCGCGGAACAATCCGTAACATTTAAACATAACAATTTTAATAATTGAGTTGTAATTTTTTTATTTAAAGATGACACATATCGAACAAAGACACACATTACTTTAATATTTGAGATATCTATGTCTCATCTATCAAAACGGAAAATTTACAAATTTTTAAATGTTCAACAAATGTTCAACTTTTTCAATCTCATGTTTTGCAATTACATTTTTAATTATATTTGCGTATTTTGAGCTTGAAAGATCTTGCATAATTTTAGGATCTATACAAATATCTTTTAACAACGGAACTAAATGATCCACTATATAAAAGCTACGTTATGCTCTGCGAAAAATGCTGCTAATTTAATTTTTGCGCGTTTAACTTTATCTTTATGCGATAAATTATAACATCATCTAACATAATCTAACATCATCAATAGCCTCAAATTTAGAAGAAGTTATCAATATGTTTAATTGTTCACGAATGTTAAATTAAATCTGTTTCGCAACATCTGATGGTTTTATTACATACGATACAAAGCGCTTCATTTTCTACAGGATGAAGAGCTATCCTTTAAAAATGTTTTTATCTAGCTATAAATTTTGAAATTCTCTTTTACGTTTCTTAATAGTTTCTTAATCCTTTGCCAATAGAATCTATCATGCAAAAATAAAAGTATTACATGTAAAATACTTACTTTATCTGTATCTAATCTATTCGGCGATGATCCTGTCAAAACTTTCGCGTATTTCATGTTAAGCTTTTACGCCCAACATCGCTGCGTCACATACGTTTCATATATTCTTCTGTTTGTTCTTCATGCCACGCATGCGCGAAAAACCCGGCCCAATTCACAACACTGAGGAAGGGCGAACGCGGTACTTTATAATGCCTCGCCGCGAATTAGGCTCGCGTTACTATAGCAGAAAAAATAGCATTGTGCGTTGTCAAGCACGCGAGAACTATAACACGGTCATCATTTTTGTTCTGTCACCCGAACGCTAACGAACTCTATCGATCCTCGCGAAAGATAATCTGCTCGCAACGCGCGACTCACAAATCGCGCATTATTCATGTGCGGCCAAAATTGCGATAATTGTACATCAGACATATCACTGGTCGAACACTGAACAAACTTTTATATCATCAACATCGAACATTTGCGCAATCAACACCTTGTAGTTAATTAATAATTCAATAAATTGCTTGTTAAATTCACGGACGACTGACGATTAATTAATTAAACTCGTTATGACCGACGAGTTATTCCGCGTTCGAAATAAACACACAATTCGGACAGGGGAAACTAATCCATTTTATATTACATTAAACCAAGAGACATAATCGCGATCTTTTGTTTTCATGGTAGCACTCTGGTATGTAAAGCCAGAATATAAAATGTGTCAATCATGAAAACGTATAAGAAATATAATTGAATATTCTGCAATATGCTTTGCACAGAGAATTCATGGAACATGTAAGAAGTATATTTAAACGAGTCAGATAATGTTAAACGAGTTTTTTTTAACATTTCGCAAAGGGTCAGTTTTCTTCATTTCCATGATGCTTCATATTTTTGCTAAGATAGTAAAAAGATATTGTAGGAAATTCAAAAAAATTAGTAAAACCTTGATCCTTTATTTATGACCGTGATTTCGGTTTTTATAACCATCACATTCTTCGATAAATAATTCTGAATCCTACAAACTATTTTACTTTATGACCCTTTTCTTACAATATTTATAATTATCAGATGAGACAGTCGACGAATATTCAGAATAGTACATTACATCATTAAGCTATCATTAATCTTTATAATACATTATAACACAGTTGATTACAAAGAAAATAAAGCTTAGAAATTATTTTTTTACCATTACATGCAGAGTTATGTCAATATATAAAAATAAATATGTTTATGCGAATGAACATTCGCACTAATTAGTCCATTTAAAACGCCTTTATTTAAAAAATCTTAAAAAACTTTAACATTTTTTATTGAAACTTTTCTAAAAATATTTCATAAAATTAGTATTTTATAGTTGTGGGATAGTATGTACAGTATCCTGTAATTTTGGGATATTGTATATAAATAATATAAATAGCATTAAATATAGTAATATTTTTGTTTTAGAAAATTGTTCATCCATGGAAAGCTATGCTGACATCATTGCCAGTATGGGCTATAGTCATGGCTCATTTTAGCGAAAATTGGGGTTTCTATACGATGCTTACTCAACTTCCAACTTTTATGAAGGGTAATTAAATATTTTGTTTCAATATAATAATAATAATGTGTTACATCCAGCCAAGAGTAAATTGTAAAATTAAGAATTAAGGATTTAAATGAATGAGAATTGAATGGGCTCAGAACGAATAGTTGCTCTCTCGAGAGTCAGGCATGGAATCATGATCTCGAGTCGAACGCACTATCTCGGCACTGGGTCAGCGATAAAAAAATCGCTATGATGCCTCGTTGTAGACGTACGTTCGTCGGTCGTTCTTTAGTAAAAAAACTTAATTCTTAGGAGGAGCCCTCGTGCGACCAATGGGATAGGGAAAAGAGATCAAGGGTTTTTAAGAAAGTAAAAATTAAAATTAAAATTTAAACATCAATTTTAATTAGTAA